CCTCCACGAGCAGCAGATGCAGATGGCCTCGACCCTCCACAAGCCACGGAGCTGCTGGGCTTGCTCGATGCGGGAGGGAGGCACGCTTCATATCGCGCTAGTCGAGGAGGGCCTCCCCCACCGCGGCGGCCCTCTCGATGGTCTGCACGGTCACACGGAGGTCCATGACGGCGCGGTGGTCGGACTCGCCGACGCACGACGTGCAGCTGCTTCATAGAGACGCGCTGCTTGGTTGGGTGAGCCGGGCAACTGCTGCAGCTCTCTCGAGCGCGCGGACGAGCCCAGCTACTACAGCTCCGGCGAGCGCGCGAGTGAGCCAGTCTGCTGCAACTCGAGGGTTCACTCCCCTGCCTCTTAAGTGCAGTTGTTAGCTACTAATCACCATGCATGTATGCAACCAAACACCGAGTGAAAATTACTTCACGATGACAAGACATCACATGCAGGCAACCAAACTACATGCCAACATTGTCTTTTTCTTGTTTTCTTTTAATCAGGGCCTGCTCAGCCTGGCTTGTTTTTGTCCTCTTTGTCTACACTATTCAGCCTAGGGCCCGGGGCTTATCCCAATCCTGGGTCCGCCCCTACCCTTTGTGGTCTTCCCCTACCCTTTTGTGGTCGAGTGGGGTGGTAGTGGGCGGGCGTTACTGAGTCGGATTTTTTCCTCCAAAAATGAACCAGGCCCGTTAGCCTGGATCGGGGTGGCAAAATCCAGCGGGCGGGCGGATGTGTGTATGGGCAAGTGGACGCTGGGAGCGGGCCGACCAGGCAACCTGCTGGGAATGAATCCGTCGAATTTGTTGCATACAGCGACTCAAAGATCAGCGCCACGTGTCAACCCCTTATTAGACAAAATCTGTGGACTGATTGCTAGTCAGTTCCAGAGTTATTGCGTTCTTCCTTTATTTTTCCTCCTTTCCCCCTTTGTCCTCTACCACTCATAGCTAGCTAGTTCATGTATCTGAAGTATTTTTCGACGACCATGTCGATGATGACTTTGTAGGCACTGGAGCTGGGGTGGTAGCTGTCCCAGAAGACGTATTTGGCGGGTTCGGCGCAGACCGGGCTGGCGAAGTTGCAGAGCACGGCTACCGCCAGCCCAAGCAAACCGCAGCACGAGTCCTTGGCGTTCTTGAACCCGAGCGCCTCGTGCCGGTGGATCACGTCCTCAAAGATGGCGTAGAGGTCGATGAATGTGAGCGTGACGCCGGGGAGCTTGGCGCCGAGCATGGCCATCTTTTCCCTGACCTTGTTGTTGAACATGCTGGCTAGCTGGTTACGATCCGCGGCGCACTGCCGCCGGATCCCGCCAGAGAGAATGCGCTGCGACGGCAAGCAGCCCACCGGCGGCACTCCCGTCAGGGCGATCCTCTTGGCGCCGAGGCTGACGAGGGTCTGGATGTAGGAGATGGCGCGCTGGACCATGAGGTCGCTGTACTGCTCTACCGACATGGGGTCCCCGAAGGTGAAGTGCTCCACGATGTCGTTGCTGCCCCACACGAGGAGGTAGAGGGCCTTGTCCGGGATAGTCCCCACCTTGGCCTTGTACTCCAGGAACATCTTCAGCTGCTGCTCCATCGACAGCGCCGACTGCATGCATACAGGCAGGGATCTCGATCAACTGTAGATATGATTTGCACGCATGCATGCATGCGTGCCTACATCGACCTAGCTAGCTCCATGCATCGCGAGCTCGTGTATGTGGTGAACGCGTACGTAGGACGACGTACCATGGTCTTGCAGGTGGCGTTGTCGTAGCCGCTCCCGGCCGATGCGAAGCTGACACCGGTCTTGAGGTCGTCGAGGGTGAGGTCCTTCTTCAGGTACGGCGGGACATTCTCCTTCACACCAAGTGCCGCCGCTGCATTTACAAAACCATTGTGATCCACACTGACTGATACTATCTTAATTATACTCCCTCCGTCCCCAAATAAGTGACTCAACTTTATACTAGCTTTAGTACAAAGTTAGTATAAAGTTGAGTCACTTATTTTAAGACAGAGGGAGTATGTAATTGCCGTATATATGTGTGATATCGGTGATACATACGTACCTAGGAAGTCAACACTGATCCTACCGTCCGTGAACCGGCCGGTGGCCTTGTGCCCGGGGAAGTCCCTGCCGTAGGGCGGGAAGTTGGCCCTGACGATAGTCCTGATATAGTTGTTGTTACCTGTGTCTATAATCGAGTCACCAAAAGCAAGGATCGCGGGGTATTTAAGCGGCCCGGCAGTAGCCGGGGGAGCTGTGGGAACCTTCGGCGGCACCGGCACCGGCACCGGAGGAGGTGCTGCCGCACGCACCCCGGTGATGACTCCGGCGAGAACTAGCAGGGCGGGGATCATGTTATACATGGTGGTGAACGCCTAGAACCGTGGACGCACACTTTTTGAGACTGGTATGTGGTGTCCGCCATGGTAGATAAATAGGCCGTGTCCTACTCGTTCCACCAAGTGATTTGGTCTAAAAGAACACGGCAGTTGCATGCAAGATCAGCAAGACCCGGGGTGCTCACCCGCATGTCCTTGTAGGTTGACATTTGTGCAGTGATGCGATACTTGCTCTTCTTCTTTGTCTCGGGACGGTGGCTAAATTTGGCAGGTCCACCTAGGCCTAGGCAGGGAAAAATCATGAGTCAATTACACCATCTGTGTCTAAAATTGGCGAAAAGACACTTTAGTGCTATAACTTGCGATGTACATTGAACCGTGCAACTACTTGGCTTCCATGAGCATATCGTGCTTGTGACAAAATTCATTCTTATATTAGTTTGACAAAATAGCCAGCAATGACAAATAAAAAATATACTCCATTTATTCACAAGGAGAAAGACCTGAACAGTAGATTTGGTGAGTATTTTCTTTGCTCTGCAGCTTCACATGGACAATAGCATTGATGGACCCATGTGCTTCCTTATCATCTGTATGAACTATCAGACTCAAAAACAGAAATCCTGACAACAGACAGATAAGGATCACAACCAAATCACGATAAACATCATGTTGCCTCCTATGAATACATTTTAAAAAAATGATACGAAAGGTAAAGATACATATAAAGTACACCACCACCTAACAAATCAAACCAAGGCAGGGGATAATCAGCTGAGTATGAAAGTCTTCTCAATTTGATGCATGTTATCCCAGGGCAGCAGATATTTCTCTCCAGACACGTCTTCCGAAGAAATAAACCCTAATTTGCAGATCTTGGACATTTTGTCATTACTTCATCAGTCAGTGTGACGAGAGAGCAGTGAATATTCCATAACCAGCAAAACCAAGGCCAAACAGAAGGAAGCCGTAGTCCAGCACTCTTCTCCATAGGCTCATTGACGATCCTACGATGTTGAGGTGGAAGAAGGTAGGTAGCACAAAGGAGAGCAGCGCACAGACGGTGCACCCAACAAAGGAGACGAAGGACCCAAATGCAGGTATGCAGGATGCCATCACAGTTAAAATAGTCACCATGATGATGCGGCTCGAGTGCAGGCCTAGCCACTCGGCACCAGGAACCCCGTGGGAGAGCTTCTGGAAGCATCCACTTGATCTGAGCCTTGTCTCCACAATCTCGTGAATCGGGTGCATCATAACTGGGAATGTGAATGCTAGTGCAATGCATAGGCCAACCTGCCAGTAGATTTTTTGAACTTTTAGGATACAAAGATCACTACTCCAGCATGTTAGATATCATGCGGCAATAAGATTTACAATTTTTCAAATCTCAAAATATAATAGATTCACACTTGAATCATACTTTATGACCTTATACCACCAATTATCAAGTACTGGGGCTACAAAATATTTGACGAGAAGCAATAGCATATTTCAACAAACAATTACACGATATAGATTATGAAAATTGCACTAACCTTAACAGCAGCAGATGACCAACTATTGGGAAGATTAAGTGTTATGATGTCCTTGGTAGCCTCACCATAGGCCAAGTACCCACATACTCCAAAACATGCATACACAACTATGATGCCCACAACTGCTTGAGAAAGCACCCAACGGAACTTTCTACGTTCCGCCATTGATGATTCTAGTGCCAGTGTCATGCTGAATCCTTCAAAGCAGAAGACCGCGACTCCAAAAGCGAAAGGTATCGCCAAAACTCCATTAAAAGCACTTCTATTTGCAAAAGGATGATCAATTAGTTGAAGATCTTTTCTGATAACCACTGCCGCCGCTAGGACATTGCACACATCAGCAAATATACTGAATGGTGAAAGAGAGGATAGTGAAAGAATGAAGGACAACGCGATTTGCACAGGCAATAGGACGGCAAAGATGAAGCCAGCTGGTGACATCGACTGGCTAAACACGGAATGCAGATTTTCACCAATGAATACTAGGTAAGCTACAGAACCACCCGCTTGTGAGATAAGAATGAGAATTTCCGTCAAGCACCGACCTATAGTCCCAAAGCACTTCTCACCAAAATCTCCATATGTATAATTCTTTGGTTCATCAGTTTCTTCCTCCTGCAATTTATCTTTACAGTCCACCTTCAGAATAGAAATCGAAACAAGTAAATTAAGCAGCTAAAAAGTTGTTGCTATCAAAACAGAAGTTCATAACATTGTAAAAATCATAGATGCGGCACAGTACATACACGATTCATTTTTTATCATACCATCAGTGTGCTGATCAATGTGAAGTATAAACACAAATTAACAGGCAAAGTCCTGTTCAACAAATTCAACACACTGAAGAAGCAACGAACAGTAACACAGTTCAGAAAGTATGACCATTCAATTTAACTAGAATGTGAGAGGAGAAACTACCACGTTTACAGAAATACTACCAAGAACAGGCTAACGGCTTAATGCCATAAGGCTGGTCATGACCATGAATAAGGCTTCCATTCTGACACTATTCCGGGAGTGCTTCGGACTACATGATTCATTTGGTTTTATTTCTTATTATTTGTGCAAAATCCTGACCGACCCTGGTTACCGTTCCTGTTATACTGGAGACAATATGGGACCATATTTTTCTGATGGGAAATGGAACGAAAATACTGAAAGTGGAAAGCCTCTTTACTTTAAAGTTGGGCAGTGGGCACAGGATATCCCCATCTGAAAAATCAATAGTGTCCTTAAACACGAAGACGCAAAAATTTTATCCCGAGTGACCAAATACTCTACCCTGTCGCTAATATAGTACTTCTAGCGTATGAATGATAACAACAACATGGTAGTACGGCTACGATTAATCTTCAATCGAAACGTAAATACAGACACCATGCAATTTGGCATGGACAGCAAGTCCCAATCTGCTTAAGCTGAATGCAATGCAGGATGTGGCCGTAGAACGGTAGAAGTAGTAGTATTAGTATTTAGATGGCATCCGGTAGTGTTAATGCGAGGTACGGTACTGACCAGGAGGAGCATGCAGTAGAGCGTGGCGAATCCGGCGGCGGCGACGCCGAGGGATCCGGCGACCCAGCCGGCGGCTCGGAAGGCGTAGGGCAGGCCGAGCACCCCCGTGCCCACAATGGACACCACCACGTTGCCCAGCGTCTGCGCCCAGGTTGCTCCTCCCCAGCCTCCACGCCGTCTCCCATCCTCCCGCGCCAGCAGCGGCGCAGCCGCCCCCTTCGCCTCAGCCATCCGCAGCAACAACCGTGGCGGCGGCGACGCAGAGACAAGAGAAGTAGCGGAGCTTTTCGAAGTGAATTTTGATTTTGGAATCTGGTTTGGCGCACGAGGGAACGAGAGGAGGAGCCGTCGTTGTACTACCGTGGTCCGTGGATGGTGAGCGGGATGGGATCACGTTGGAGCTTTCTGGATATCTGTCGGACGCAAAAGCTTCGCTCACACGCGAATCGATACTGAGTGCTACAACCTGTGTTGCATGATCAGTTTACAATCCGTTTGGTTATATGAATGGGATTTCGTATCTGTGGCCTGATTTAGCCGAATGAATCTATATCTTATATCTATACCAATATAAAAAGACTCAAAGGGATAGATCCAACTGATCCCGGCCATCGAACTAAATTAATCCAACGATCTAGACTGCTCTAATGGCGAGCATTAAATGTGTAACGTGCAATTCATACCAAATATTGCACTAATCATAGGATTAATACACAAATAATAGCATGCCTAATATTCACGTGCAATTAATATATTGCCTAAATATTAACGTGCGTGGCACATGCGCATTTACTAGTCTATATCTATATCTATATTTACACTAATATAAAAAGACCCAAAGAGGCAGATCCAATTGATCTGAGCCATTGAACTAAGTTAATCTAACAACCTAAACTGTTCCAATGGCGAGCGTTAAACATGTTTAACATGTAATTAATATCATACCAAATATATTACACTAATCACAGGATTAACACACAAATAATAGCATACCTAAAATCCGCGCGTAATTAATATATTGCCTAAATATTTAACATGCGTTGCACGTGCCGATTTACTAGTCAATATAAAAAACCCCAAAAGACAGATTCAACTGATCTCGGTCATCGAATTAAGTCAATCCAACGATCTAGACTGCTCCAATGACGAGCGTTAAACGTATTTAACGTGCAATTCATACCAAATATTGCAATAATTACATGATTAATACACAAATAATAGCATGCCTAATATCCACATGCAATTAATATATTGCCTAAATATTAACGTGCATTGCACGTGTGCATTTACTAGTACCCGTTAAAAAACACATGTTTTTCACTCCCCTTCCGCATGGCTGAGTAGAAACAATCCCAATGCTTAGTTGGATATATTCGGAAAAATGATGTTTAGTTGGAAGCCTGTGGTATGCAGATGTGAAGTGTTGTTTGGTTATACACAAGACATGCGGTCTGGTAAAATCTCTTGTTGAAGTGGTGAGGTTACAAACATTCAGCCTTTTGCACAACATAGTCGTAAGCACTCAAGATAGTCATATGCAAAAGTCTTAGACCATAGTCATATGTCTCAAGGTCTTGAACTAATAATTCAACGTTAAAGTAAACTAACACGCAACAAAAAGATAATAACCTAAAGGTCCAAGGCAATTGTCTCCTGTGTGGATTTCACTTGGCCATCACCTCAACACCATTGGTGTCGAAAACAACCACTTGAAGATTTCGGGAGTCACCACCTTAAAGGTCACGAGGTACCCCGGTCTTCAACTGATGAGCTAGGGCGAAGGGGCACATCATTTTATCAAGGGTGAGCCAACTATTGATCGCACTGTTAGGACCCGATTCTAAGTCACACCGATCTAGCATGTAACACATTCTATCACTTTGCGGCCTCACGCACGGTATCCTCACGGGTGTCACCTTACCTAGCCCGGGACCATTTGCGCCTTTTGGCTCACGTATATGATAGTGTCGCTAGCATACATATGACAGAGAATCCGAGCCCACGTGACTAGTCGTAAACCCAAAGTGGCACTAACTTATAGGGACAGGCATACATGACCCAGCAATGCATATGTTGGTCAGCAGCGAGTGAATCCGGGCTATAGCAAGCTAACAGGACTCTGGTAGACACCGCGTGACATTTCCCCGAAGGGACAGACACATGGGCAAGGAAGGACACATGTCGATCATCCATGCGTTCCGGAGCAGTATCAAGCTACCATGGCTTAGTGGGACCACCAGGAGACATTTACCCATAAGAGAGGCTACCAAGAATAAATAACTAGGTTATCGGATCCCACACATACCAAGCATTTCAAAAGCATACACACAATATGCTCGATATGTGCAAATACAACAAGGCATTACAACAAAACTATGTGACTCAAAGTATTTATTCAATAGGCTCCGAAGAGCCAGATATTACAAACATGGATCTCATGACCCAACATTCAAGTCATACAAGAAACAAGCACAGGCGGAAGCATAAACATGTCTGAGTATAGACATCTGAAAAAAAGAAGGCAATAAAGCCTGTCTATCTATAAGACCCTCCAAAGGAGCCAGACCTCTGTCTGGGATCCCAAGCTAATTGTCGAAGCCCACGTGGAACTACTAGAGAGACTGAAGTCTCTCTGCAAAATAAATAAATAAAGCAAACGTGAGTACAAATGTACCCAACAAGACCTACATCAGAACTAACTACTTATGGATCAGTATCAACAAAGGGGGTGGTGGAGTTTAACTGCAGCAAGCCAGTTTTGACTCGGTGGCTATCCTGTACTACGAGTACTTCCTTTGAGGTGGCGCACACGAGTCCACATATTCACCATATCAATACACCACTATGAATCCGCTCTCGTCTCCCTACGAGAAGGCCATCCATAGCAATCACGCTTATCTTGTGCATTTTAGATATTCACTTCCAGTTATCTATGAACAATGTAAGCGTTCCAAGTGGTCCATATCCGCGGACGCGGCTATTCGAATAGATCATTTATAACCCTGCATGGGTGTACTTCTTCACACACGCTCCCACCACTTATCTCCATTTACACGACATGTACTCGGCAACCTTCAAGCGGAAGCCCGACGAGGGTGTCAGCCAGGACCTGACTAACCACACAAGTCTCTAGTCCAGGTTTATCGCCTATTCGGGTTCCATCTGCAAGGAAATCCGGCCGGGGTTTCCACTACAACCCCAAATGATGTGTGCAGGGTTCCCGAGCCCACCAAACGGGTGCCCTAGTACACCGTGCCACGTTCCTACCGCATCACAGCCCACCCCTAGAGTCAGTGCTACGCACGGCCTCTAGCATACTACAAACACTAAAAACTACTTGCAACTCCTAGACAGAGGATAAGGCGATTAATAAGCCAAGAGGGTCCACTCACTACTGCAGGATGCTGCTAAAGTGACACTACGATCAGAGACCCTTCGACGAAACTGTGTGCGATGTAATAATCACAAACGATGGTGTAAAATAACCATCAAAAAAGGTGCAAACCGTTTGCGATGGTGGGCACATCAAACATGGTTCAGATTTTAGTTGCGCGTGTGATGCTGAGCATATGGTTGATCCATACGAACTGTTTGCGATTAGATAGAACAACAGAAACGGGAAGCCATATCAATGTGTGTGCGATATACGTCATACAGTTCGCTCCGCTGAACTGTTTGCGATGATTGAGGTGAACACAAACGATTCGGCGTAACAAGATGTGTGTGATACCCGCCTGGCAAACAGGTCGGTAATCAGAATTATGTGCGAAGACAGCCCATACAGACTTTTTTTGTGAATTGTGTGCTCGTCAGGGCACACAGTTCAACAAACCAACCTGTGGGCTATAATGTAGAAGATCTCTGTCGAATACTTATTACTAACCGTCTGCGATGAGATTGATAGGATAAACAGAGATAAAAAATTAATATGAGCGAATGGAAACAGGGATATGTACAGTCTGCTTAATTTAGTCCTTGTTGTTGTTGGATGGCCCCACGACATCGTCTTGGCGAGCACGCTTCTTGCCGCTGATGGTTGGCTTTTCATCGCCGCCACTGTCGTCATTGTCATTGCTATCGTTGTCCTCCTCCTCCTCCTCCTTGTTCGACCATTCCTCATCATCATCGTCATCGTCCTCTTCTCCGTCCTTCGACGGCTCCTCGTCCATCTGGTTGTCGTTTGACGACTCTGGAGGCGGCGTCCCTTCCATGATCCAGATATAATCAAGGTCTGGGCTCGACACCGGACTCATGGAAGACGAGCGGGATGATTCCGATGTTGACCTATCATCGGGCACCAGACTACTGGCCGAACTGTCGTCCTCGCTGTCGCTCGACATGGCTGCAGAGTGTGTGCCAGTGTGTAACGCGGCCTGCCGGGGACGATGAAGATGGTGGACACTTAAGCAGGGTATGCAGAGAAGAGGAAATGCCAATTGAAGCGGGGGTTGACATATTATCTAACCGCTGATATAATCAACCGCAATTATTTGTACCTAGTCACTCCAAATTCCCGGGGTTGCGCAGGACTCCTATTGGCTGGTTTATTTTTTCAGGACAAAAAGATGGAACGAGTTTTGGGATTATGCACCGGTACCGGTACGAACGGAGTAGGACAGTTGGCAAGCAATACATTGAGCTTTTCTTATTGATAAAGCCAATAATAATCAAACTACAAAGAAAAAGGAAAATATCTGCATGAATCTTCGTGTAACATCAATGGCATAGGACCTAGATGTGCATTACTTAGAGCACATCTATATGTGCTTTAGCAATACTGTCAAACAAAATCCCTAATCATCATTGCAAACAGTGCATATACCATGGCTAATGCGACAACCAAAATTACACATGCTAGTTCCTTCTTGTCTCTTGCTTTCATCTGTTGCTTGTGATTGATTCTTTCTTGCTTCACCGTACTGATTGTACATTCCAGATTAGCCAGTTTCTTCTTCAGCTTTACGTTATCTTCTGCGAGCTTGGTGATAACACTCCGATCCCTGCCATGCCATTCTTCATCCAGCCAGTTAACAAAGGCACAAGCCTCATATCCATGCCAATGTTAAATAGTATTTAGGATGAGCGGTGGCATTAACTGAAGTAAAATGATGAACTTAGCACTAACCTCTAAGGGGAAACTGAGAAACCGTCTGCCAATGTCAAATCCCTCTGTGCATACACATCAAGTGGGAGTGTGCTTGTGCACACAACTCAGTTTTGGTACTTCTCGG